GTCCAGGTCCCGCCCCCGACGCCTTTTCGCGGTTCCTATTGGCTCGCCTGCGGACTCCCGGGGCGCCGAAGCCTCTTACTGGCCGCCGTGGAGTTGCGAGCTGTGGGCGTGGTCCCCGCTGGGTTGGGGGAGTTGGGGCGCCGGCGACGGTGAAGCGCTCTGTCGCACAGAACATATCGCCACCGAACGTAAACAACAAATAATAGCTTTTCCTAGAGTGGGGATAAGATAGACTCACTCTCGGCAGTAGGTGACGCTCCTGGGCACCTTACGCAGCATCCGACTGCGTAGGCCCGAGTTCCCGCTGCCCCTGAGTCGTGGTGTGGCTTTTGGGTCATTCAACTTTTCAAGCCTCCACTTCCTCCTTTTAAATGGGAACGATGCTGGAATCTAGTCGGTATTTGGCAAATGTGAGGTGTTTTTTTTTGAGTTGGAGTCTCACTCTGTCACCCAGACTGGAGTGCAATGGCCGCTCCCGGCCACCGCAGCCTCGACCTGCTGGGCTCCGGCGATCCTCCCGCCTCGGCCTTCCAAGTAGCTGGAATTACAGGCGTGCGCTACCACGCCTGGCTGATTTTTGATTGGTTGTAGAGATGAGGTCTCGTCAAGTTGCCCAGGTGGTCTCGAACCCGCGGGCTCAGGCAATCCACTCACCTCGGCCTCCCAAAATGCTGGGATTACAGGCTGAGCCACCGAGCCCGGCTGAGACATTTCTAACTAGAACAGAGTTTTCATGTGAGGATAACATTCAGTTCCCACTTAAACCAGCTAGCTCTGCAATGGGGACCAATGGTTATGTGAAACCAGGTTAAGAGTCTGGTGACAGCCAGTGCAACCATTTCAGTAAACTAAACAGGCTGGACACAGTGGTTTACCCCTGTAATCCCAGCACTTTGGGAGGCCGGTGCAGGAGAATCGCTTGAGCACAGCAGTTCAAGACCAGCCTGGGCAACACAGTAGACCTCATCTCAACAAAAAATACAAAAGTTAGCCAGGCACGGTGGCGCGTACCTGTAGTCCTAGCTACCTGGTGGGCGGAGATAAGAAGATTGCTTGAGCCCAGGAAGTCGAGGCTGCAGTGGGCCAGGATTGTGCCACTGCACTCCAGCCTCGGCGACAGAATAAGAGCCTGTCTCAAAAAATAAATAAACTAAACTGCATTGCTACTGATGGACCAACAATACTAACTCTACATATAAAAGGTAACATCATTCACTTTCCCTCTATTCAGAACCTTCATTTTGGCATATGTAAACACTAATTAAAATTTGAATTTACGTTAAAATAAAAATTAAAAATATAATTATATTACATAATGACTTTTATTTTTCTTAGAGACAGTCTCACTCTGTTGCCCAGGCTAAAGTACAGCAACATGGTCATGACTCACTGCAATGTCCAACTCCTAGGCTCAAGCGATTGTCCCACCTCAGCCTCCCAAGTAGCTGGGACTACAAGTGAATGTTACCACACCCGGCTAGTTTTTAAATTTTTTGTTGAGAGCCTCATTACGTTGTCCAGGCTGGTCTTGAACTCCTAGCCTTAAGGTATCCTCCCACCTCAGGCTCCCATAGTGCTAAGACTACAGGATAGCTTGTGCTGACAGTAAGAGATATGGCTAACTCACAATTTTTTCCTAGGCAAGTCTGTGCCCCACTTGGTTTTAATATATCCCAACTTTCATGTTCTTCTTACTTTGGGTTTGGTTCTTCCATTGCCTTCATAGTATTCCATTGTTCATTGTCACAATTAAACCCTTAGCCCATGATATGCAAAGTGGTTCATGAAAAAAAGAGCCCCATCTCAGAAATCTGCCCTAATAAAAGGTAAAGGGGATATTCTAGATGTTTTTGCTTGAAGAGCTACAATTCAAATTTAGAAAATGTGCCTGAGGATAAAGAAGGTTAAAAAGCATTACTCCAGTGATCCTGCTATATATTCATTCACTTAAAGGGCTGCTTTTCACCGGGCTCAGTGGCTCAGTCTGTAATCCCAGCAATTTGGGAGGCTGAGGCAAGTGGATTGCCTGAGCCTGCAGCTTTGAAACCAGCCTGGACAACTGGACACGCCCTCATCTCTACAATAAATAAAAAACTAGCCAGGAGTAGTAGCACATGCTGGTAGTTACGGCTACTTGGAAGGCTAAGGCTGAAGGATCACTGGAGCCCAGCAGGTTGACACTAGGGTGGCCATGAGTGTGCCACTGCACTCCAGCCTAGGCTACGGAGTGAGACTCCAACTCAGAAAAAAAAAAAAAGCTGTTTTTCAAACCACAGGCTCTTTGCCTAGTCTTCATTAGCCCTATTTTCTGTTAAATATCCAGAGAAAAATAATAGTGCCGAGAGAGCATTTAAAAGCATAGCTAGCTGGGCTTGGTGGCTCAGCCTGTAATCCTGCACCTTGGGAGGCTGAGGCGAGTGGACTGCCTGAGCCCGCGGGTTCGAGACCTGCCTGGGCAACTTGGTGAGACCTCAAAATAAAAAAATTAGCCGGATGTGGTAGCACGCGCCTGTAGTTCCAGCTACTTGGAAGGTTGAGGCGGAAGGATCACTGGAGCCCAGCGGGTCGAGGCTGCGGTGGCTGGGAGTGGCTACTGCACCCCAGTCTGGGCAACAGTGAGACTCCAACTCAAAAAAATAAATAAAAAAAAATAAAAGCATATAGCTAATCCCTTCCGTTTAGTTCAAGTTCAATATACTATAATGATGTCTAGCACCACCCAGTGGCAATCTTTTCCCACATTCTTGTGAATAGCAATTCTACAAACCTAATCACAAGAGAAAATACTTCAATTGGCCAGGCACAGTGACTCACAACTGTAATCCCAGCAATTTGAGAGGTTGAAGCAGAAGCAACACTTGAGTCCAGGAGCTTGAGACCAGCCTGAGCAACACAGTGAGTTATTTTACCAAAAAAAAAAAATTAGACGTGGTGGCGCAGGCCTGTAGTCCTAGTTACTCTGGGTGGCTGAGCCCAGGAAATCGAGGCTACAGTGTGGTATGATTGTGCCACTGTACTCCAATCTGGGCAACAGAGTGAGTTCCTGACTAAAAAAAAATACAAAAATACTTATTCAACAGAGACTAGAAAAAGTTACAAATCAAACTAAAGCCATTTCATTTTTTAAAAATCATCTACTTTTAAAAGTTCAGACTATTTTAAGGTTGATCAACCTTAAGAGGTAAGCTAAGACTCATGGCTTAGATAATTTAAAAACAAAAAAGAAATTTTAAAAAAATCCTCCTTTTCTTCCTCTACCTGTATACACATGCTAGCTTTAAAATAAAATTACAGGCAACCCCTTTGGGTCCCCTCCCACTGTGGGAGCTTTTCTGTCCTCTCAATAAATTCTGCCTTCTCACTTTCTGGCTGCCCGTGTCCCTCATTCTTCCTGGGCATGAGACAAGAACCTCAACCCTGAAGAGCTATGACCTGAAGAGCTGCAGAAGATCACTGGAACCCAAAAGCCGTGTACCCCAGAGGCTGGCTTGCCAGTCGACAGAGCCGGCTCAACCAGGAGAGCTGCTGAAAGAAGGTGAGACTCTGAAGCTGAGACACTCCAGGGACTAAGCTTGCCAGCCCACTGAACCAGCAACACTCTCAGGGCCTGGCTTGCCAACCCATCACGAGCCAATACCCCGGGGGCTAGGCTTACCAGCCCATGGAACTAGCAACACTCTCAGGGCTTAGCTTGTCAGCCCATTAGTGCCAACACTTCTGGGGCTAGGCTTACCAGTCCCTCAAGATGACCCTCTCTGGGGCTTGGTTGGCCGACCCATTGAGCTGACACTCTCGAAGTCCAGGCTGCCCTGAAAAATCTGTATCACCTGGTTTCCAAATGTTTGTGTAACAACTATCCCGGATTGTGAGCAAGGCCTGTAACTTGCATATAGTCAATAAAAATGTCAAATTGAAGGGATTTTTTAAAAGTACAAAATAAAAATAAAATAAAATTACATGTTAGAAGGAAGGGTGCATTTGTAAAGTGTAGGGCTGAATTTTTCTTTTGAGAAAATTAGTGTCATCATCAGTGCTTTAAAAAAAAGTGAGAGAAGCCAGGCTCGGTGGCTCAGCCTGTAATCCCACGCCTTGGGAGGCTGAGGTGAGTGGACTGCCTGAGCCCGTGGGTTCGAGACCCGCCTGGGCAACTTGGTGAGACCTCATCTCTACAATAAATCAAAAAATTAGCTGGGTGTGGTAGCGCGCGCCTGTAGTTCCAGCTACTCGGAAGGCTGAGGCAGAAGGATCGGCCGGTGCCCAGCAGGTCAAGGCTGTGGTGACCAGGAGCGGCCACTGCACTCCAGTCTGGGCGACAGAGTGAGACTCCAACTCAAAAAAATAATAATAAATAAATAAATAGGCCGGGCTCGGTGGCTCAGCCTGTAATCCCAGCACTTTGGGAGTCCAAGGTGAGTGGATTGCCTGTGCCCGCGGGTTCGAGACCCGCCTGGGCAACTTGACAAGACCTCATCTCTACAACAAATCAAAAATTAGCCGGGCGTGGCAGCACACGCCTGTAGTTCCAGCTACTTGGAAGGCTGAGGCGGGAGGATTGCCGGAGCCCAGGAGGTCGAGGCCGCGGTGGCCAGAAGCGGCCATTGCACTCCAGTCTGGGTGACAGAGTGAGACTCCAACTCAAAAAATCAAATAAACAAAAAATAAGAGAAAATCAGGACCACTTCTAGAGGTCTTCTAATTATTTCTTGTCTGAAAACCAACTGGTTTCAGGATGGCTCTTCCCATAGTAATCTAAAACATGACCTCCCTTAATGTACACAGAGAAAATATATGTCTTAAACAACATGGAAGAAAAGCAAAATTCTAGGTGTAGAAATGTGTTTTCTCAAATGGCTCTTCTTTCAAACTGGAGTCAGTCCCAGGCCGCTGCTTACATCAGTGGTCCCTTCTGAGACCAGGCTGGAGGGCTTGCATGCCACTGGAAGGGCATGAGGCACCTGATGCCACAGCAGGGAATTAACAAATGAGGGACCACAACTATCCCACAAGAACTGACGAACTCTTTAAAATTTGAATATCTGAGAAACAGAGGCCAAGACTGTGCCCTGATTTTTCATTTCAGAAAGTCACACTTCACATTAAAAATGTACACTCTACAAATTTTCACATATCAAAAGATATTACAGAATTTAAGTCATGGTATCCTCTAAAAAGGAAGAGGAAAAAAACAGTCATTTATAGGAGTGTCTTTTTTTTCTGGTGTCTTAAATATCAATGATCACAAAAACTTCTGGCTTCTCTTCATTATAGACTTGCATTGCTGAATATGTTATTGCTTTGACTTCCGTTCCCTAAAGTGGGGGTTAGGGAAAAAAAAAACAGGAAAAAAGGACATTAAAATCAGTGAAATCAGAATTATTACCTCTAGCGACAATTGGCAGAAAGTCAAAATTTTAATATTATTCTGAAAAACTCATATGAAATAATTAGTTAACAGATTAGTATAATACTATAAACAAACCAATAAAAATGACAGGCAGTATGTGCACAGGCATTAGGAGATGGAACTCTAATCCTGGCTGTTTTCACCTGGGTATGGAAGTTGTCCAGCTTGTCTGGGCATCAGTTTTTTTCATCTGTAAAATGAGCTGAATCAAAGAACACAGGCTTTCCTACTATTTGGCTCCCTCTTCAAGCCGCATCAGCTTATACACTGGACATAGGCCCTTGGAACTTAACCTGCTCTCTTCTCAGCTGCCAACGTTCACTTCACCTCTGGGACTCCTCTCTTTCCAAGTCTAGCTGAAGAGGGAGACAGTCTCCCAGGTCAAAAGCTCGCCACACAAATCTGATACATGATACTTTCCCCCACCCTGCCCCAGTTTAGAACCACAGGATTAGACGTTCTCTTAGGTTGCTTCTAGCTCCAAAAAGAATCTATGATAATTCTGTGTACCACAAAATGCATCAAGCAATGGGCGAATATCATTTACTAGCTCAAAACATTTACTACAAAAACATTTGAAGATTTCACAGAAGAATATGAGTCATACCACCTTTGCTTTTTCCCATCTGCCATGATCACCTGGTGAAAGCAAAACGTAAATCAAATTCAACTTTCTGCCTATGGCAGCTTGCACCATGCTAACTGATGTCCACAAATCTCAAACAGGCATTCAGTGCTGACCAGCAATCCCATGTTTACAACTAAATGCCCTTTCTCACTCTGTGATACAATTATTTCACATCTTCTCTAACATCCCTCATTCTCACTCTCAACCAACAATGCTTCCTAGAGAAAACAAGAGCAATCAGTAAGAACTGACTCACTTCCCACCATCGAATCTACCATCTTGTTGTATCTGTGCTCACACTGGCCTTTCCACCATTACAATGAACAGCCTGTCCTGGCTCATATCAGCAGGCTGTACCCGCCTTAACAACTTTATCAAAAAGGCCTGTCTATATATCTTGTCTCCTACTAGTCTCCCTTCACTCTCTCAGCTCCAGCTTCTTGTTCCTTCAACATAACCTATCTCACATCAAGGATTTACGTCTGTTTCTTCTGCCTGAAAAGTTTTTTCCCCAAATTTCTGCCTGTTACGCATCTCTCTGGCCTATGCTCAAATGTCACTACCTCAAACATGACAACTTTTATCCTAGGCAGAGGTTGCTGAATTGGTATAGAATCTGATAAATTTGAAGAAAGTTTACCTTTGCATTAAATCGTAAGTTCCTGTGTGATCACTGTATATAAATACATGGCTGTCTGTAATATTCTTTATTTGGAAATTTGAGATTTCAAAATACCAGTGTCCTGCCACTTTAAGGGTACATTGTGGAGCTGAACTCTGAGTTACTATGCAAGATTTTTTTTTCAATGCTGTCATTTACAAAATGTTTTGTGAGAATCCTTGGGATTAAAGTTTTAGTTACAAATTGTTGTTTAACTTGAAAGCCTGTTTTTCCTTGCAAACTCAAATCTGTGAGCTTGGTACCAAGTCCAGGTATATAAACATTCCTATTGGAAGTCATACTTATATTTCCTTGTCAAGTGCTTTTGAATTAATAAAATAATTAGCATAATTGTGTAACAGTCAGTTGAACCCACTGTTACCACTGTTCTTATCCCATGGGAAGCAGTTGGTTACATAATTATTTTATTTTTATTATTATTATTTTTTTTTAGTTGGAGTCTCACTGTCACCCAGGCTGGAGTGTAGTGGCACGCTCCCAGTCACTGCAGCCCTGACCTGCTGGGTTCCGGTGATTCTTCCACTTCAACCTTCCAAGTAGCTGGAACTACAGGTGCGCACTACCATGCCTGGCTAATTTTTGCCTGAGTGGGTCTTGAACCTGCAGGCCCTGGTAATTTACTCGACTCGGTCTCCCAAAGTACTGGGATTACAGGCTGAGCCACTGACCCCGGCTATAATTCTTATTTTATAAGAAACAGAACCGAGAGGCACTATAGTTAGTCTTCTGAAGTGAAATAGTTGTCATCTAAATGATTGTTAATAGTTATCCATTTTTTTTTTTTAGCAGTACAAGCCAGTGCAGAGTCCATGATACTTAAAGAGATCAACATTTTATGGCCAGGCACAGTGGCTCAAGCCTGTAATCCCAGCACTTTGGGAGGCCAAGGTGAGAGGACTGCCTGAGCTCAGGGGTTTGAGACCAGCCTGGGCAACTTGGTGAGCCCTCATCTCTACAAAAAAATTTTAAAAAACTAAGACGGGCGTGGTAGCACACGCCTATAGTTCCAGCTACTTGGAAGGCTGAGGTGGAATGACTGCCTGAGCCTAGCATGTTAAGGCTGCGATGGCCGTGACCGTGCCACTGTATTCCAGCCTGGGTGACAGAGTGAGACTCTGACTCAAAAAAAAATAAAGAAAAAAAGAGATCAACATTTTAAAGTATAACAGCAACCTGGTACGTTGTAACCCAAAGTAAGTTGCCCATAAAAAATGGCTTTTATCTTTAGCATGAAAACTTCCACAGTTTTAAAAATTGCTTCCATTATATAATTGAGGTGTTACATGGGAATTCTAAACTGACCCATCATATAAAGTTCACAATATGGTTCAAATGTAACAGTGCAGAATTGAAAATGAAGGCATGCATAATCTTCCTCTTAGAAAATGAGAGGAAGTCTGGTGCAGTGACTCAGTCTGTAATCCTAGCACTTTGGGAGGCTGAGGCGAGAGGACTGCCTGAGCACAGGGGTTTGAGACCACCCTGAGCAACTTGGTGAGACCTTGTTTCTATATACATCACAAAAAACTAGCCACGTGTGGTGGTGTGCGTCTGTAGTTCCAGCTACCTCAAAGGCTGAGGCGGAAGAAAGGATCGCCTGAGCCCAGCAGGTCGAGGCTGCGGTGGCCATGAGCATGCCACCGCACTCCAGCCTGGGTGACAAGAGTGAGACTCCAACTCAAAAAAAGAAAAAAAGAAAAGAAAATAGGAGATGGGAGGAGTTGTAATTTCAAATTTTTGTGCAAGTAGATTAAATTATAATGCAACAGAAAAGAAAAAAAAGCTTTTCTGACATACTCTTTCTCCTCCTGCAACCACTCATACCTTAAGCTGATGACACTGTTCAATAACTGTAATTATAAGGTCTGACAAATAAGTTTCTGAACTCGTCCTAGAAAAAGTGCCACATACTTTATTTCTGAATATCACTACGGTCACCTTCTCCTTGGGAAGCTATGCACCGATGCCAGCACCTAATCCACCTGTCAAATAAAGCAATCTTGGAATTCTTTTTCTGGAATGGCCATGAGCTGTTGATGCCAGAATGTCGGAGTTTGAATCAGAGCAATGAACAAACATTAAATTTCTTGTTAAACTTATAAGAGTGAAAGTAAAATCAGGGCATGTCACTCCAAGTTTAAGGGGATAATGCTATGAAGAAAACGGCAGTGTACAAATGGATTAAACATATTTCTGAGAGAAGGCAAAGTGTCATTGATGAAGAGAGGTCAGGACAGCCAGCAACAAGCAGAACTGAAGAAAACATTGCAAAAATTCATCAAATGCCAGGCGTGGTGGCTTAAGTCTGTAATCCTAACACTTTGGGAGGCTGAGGTGAGAGGATTGCCAAAGCCCAGGGCGAGACCAGTCTGGGCAACTTGGTGAGACCTCATCTCTACAATAAATCAAAAATTAGCCAGGCATGGGGGCATGCGTCTGTGATTCCAGCTACTTGGAAGGTTGAGGTGGAAGGACTGCCTGAACCCAGCAGGTCAAGGCTGTGGTGACCATGAGCAGTGTGCCACTACACTCCAGCCTGGGTGACAAAGTGAGACTCCAACTCAAAAAAAAAAAA